AAGTCAATGAGAACCTAAATTGTTTGGTTACCAACATTCTTCAAAATATCTTCAGCGGAAGAAAGAAATCCACACAGGTTTGGGACAACTTAAGCATGATTAAATGACAGAAATTTTCATTTTTGGGTGACTTAAACTCATTTAAGTAATTTACCACATTTTATTTACCTCAAAATATTAGTTCTGAAATGAGAACAGGAAAGAGAGACAAAAAAATCAGCAAGATAAGTAACTTCTCGTGTTTGAACCAGAGTATCAGTTCATAATGTAAGCAAACGCTTTGCAGTGGATCACACACACACTGCAGGTCACATGATAGTCAGTTGTTCTGAACAATGGCTTCTGATTCAAGAAGTGGTTCAGTCTAAATATGGCCTTTTACCCAAGTCTTTATCTCAGTTCAGCTACAGACCAAATGCACGAGCATTTGAATCATTTTTACCCTTAAAAGAGGGACTTGAACGCGTTTTATAAGTGCACTTGGCTCAGAGGTCGATTCCACGCCTTCCGTGTGGCCCTGATAGCGCCTGTCAGCTCAGTATCTCTGCTAAAAGCTGATAGTATCCACCCCTAGAAAACACAAGAATGGTCAACGACCCTCCGAGACTTTGCCCTGAAAACTGCAGGAAAAAGGTGAAAATGGGCTGGAGAAGGCCGAGACAAGTGTGCGCTAACTTAAGGCTCTGCTATAATTGGAAAGACGCATGTTGACTTGTAAATTAATATACAGTGTCTGGAAACATGCAAAAGACGAAATGCATATTAAAACGTCTGATATATTCAGAAAGTCATTTAACGTTAGCTGCCTAGCCACGAGAGCTAAGCCTGATCAGTCGAGTGATACTGCATAAAAGTAGTTGAAATGACTAATACTCACAGTCTGACACAATAAATATATTTTAATGCGTTAAGATATGTCAAACAGTTGATAAAATATGATGCAATCTGCAAGAGAACAGCGCCGGCGTTTTCCACGCGCTCTTTTGTTCAGTAATAATCAGCAAAAATACGCATTAAGCATTTGTGCATGTAAATAACCATTAAGATTTTAGGCAAAAGAGTACTATGTTGACATTAAAAACGTACCTGTTCCGTGATGTGGAAGCGAAACTTCACTTTCCCTTGATGCACAGCCGCGCGACCTGCTGCAAAACTCAACGTAAAGAGGGAGGAGCCATGTGCTTCTTCTTCTTCTTCTTCTTGTACTTGTACTTGTATTTCAACTTATGGTGTATTACCGCCACCAACTGGACTGGAGTGTGAAGCATTAACGGGAAAGAGGGAAAAAGGAGCCATGTGCTTCAGTGCACCGCCTCACTTTATGCATTTCGTTTACAATTTCAAGCCATATTTTGCGTTTTAGTTGTATGGCAGATTCCAGTTTGGATACGATTTCAGAAACATTTCAGAAAACAGTGCATTTAGATGCACATGATGTCTTGTATTTTTTGGTTTTGACCTACATACATATCAGAAAATTAAAAATACATTAAAAAAAAAATTACATCCACAACATGAGAACAAACCGCACAAAAAGCATATGCATAGTGTTTTGCAATGCTAACCTCAAGTTTATACTTAATCAATGGCAATTCATCACTCTTAACCTCTATTTATAATTTTTTTGCTCACCTCTCTATTCGTGTTTTTTGTCTTATACATTTCTGCAATCGCGTAAATGCAAATAAACACTGAATTAGAAGATAACATCGGGAAAATAGCCAAACATCCCCTGAACTCCATTTCCCACAAACCACTGCGATAGAGAGTTGTGGAGGCACACATTTAAACGCGTTCGCTGCATGGTTTTAGACATTAGCTGTGTTTTTAAATATGTTTCAGTGTGCGTAGTATTTTTCTATGCAGTAATAAATACTCCTTGTCCTTCCAGTATTGTCGGTCAAAGGTCACGCTGTCCTGTCACACTCCCGCCAATTCTGTATTTCCGGTTGAGGCGCGCTGCAAACATACACAGGTTCGTGCAAGTTTGTTTATGCAGGAACTTTTACACACTTTAATGGTTAAGCACACTGTTCTATGATGCTTTTGAATACCCTGTTGGTTAGTTAATAAGAGTGAATAAACCTCATGTTTTCTCCACTCATTGTTCGTACTATTTTGACTATAAATTATTTGTATGATCTCGTATTATTGATTGATTTCAGTATCAGATGCGGGAGAAAATGTGTTGTGGGTCATTTCTGTTAAAGACGTGCCTTTTAAATTCTTTATTTTATACAGGGAATGATAATACATGTGTTGTGATTTATGGATATGTTTTTATATGTTTAGAAGAAACATGCTCTGGTCGAATATTATTCAATATAACTTGATTATTTGCACAATAGCAAGATATTTCTATATTATCAATGTTGAAAAAAATTGTGCTGCTTATTAATATTTTTGTGAAAACCGTTTTTTTCAGTCCTTTGATTAATATAAAGTTCCAAAGGAAAACATTTATTTGAAATGGAAAGCTTTTATTTTGTAACCAATTTCCATAATAAAGGATAGAATGATAGAGCTAAATTTTAGTGGGTTGTTAGCTTGAAGCTTAATTTATATTTTTTAAGTCTTTTATTTATTATTGTTTGTAATGTTATTAATGATATTCATTTAATAATTTTTGTGATATGCATTTTTGTAAAGCTTAAATTCATACCTATGTTTACTTAATTGTAATATATTTTGTTAAAAAAGTTGTCATTTTTTATCCAAATGATTAGACATGGATCTGAGTGATTTTGAGGCGGATAACTCTGTGAGCTGCCGCTTGTCCTCGTCCACCCCGGATGTGTGTAAGACAGAGGACTGCTGCCTGGGCATCGACGAGGCAGGCAGGGGTCCTGTACTGGGTGAGTGTCATCCTCATTGGACGATTATAACTTATAAACTGGAGTATAAATTTGACATGCTGTATTTCAGGACCCATGGTGTATGGGATATGCTTCTGTCCTGTATCCAGAAAGGAAGACCTGAAGAATTTGAAAGTGGCAGGTGGGTTATACAGAGCAAATCTTGACAGGAGTTCAGATTCGGTGGAAATTTGCAGTATTTTTGTCGCATGTTTAGACTCAAAGACGCTGACGGAGGCAGAGAGAGAGAACCTGTTTCTGAAGATTGATGAGGCCAAAGATTTTGTAGGCTGGGCCCTTCAGATCCTCTCACCAAACACCATTTCCACCAGCATGCTGCAGAGGTACATGCACACAGGATTTCACTGCATGCATGCCAAGGCTGGTGATTCGAGTCGAGAGAATCTTTTAAACCTGTTGTGCTTTTATTTTCAGAGCAAAATACAATCTGAATGCGCTGTCACATGATGCAGCGATTGGTCTGGTGCAGTACGCCCTGGACTGTGGGGTGCAGCTCAAAGAGGTACAAACCAACACCTGTATGATAGACAGCAGATCTGGTGATGAAGCCGTTACGACGTGTCTTTCTTTTCTTTTTTATATATATATAATTTATAAATTTTATATATTTTTTTATAATTGATAATATATATATATATATAAAATATAATTTTTATAATGCCATGTTTTTCATACCTCTCAGGTGTTTGTGGATACAGTAGGTCCTGCAGAGAAGTATCAGGAGAAGCTCTCCCAGCGGTTCCCGGGGGTGGAGGTCACCGTCCGTCCCAAAGCTGATTCTCTCTTCCCCATCGTCAGCGCTGCCAGCATCTGTGCCAAGGTAATGGTTCCTTCAGAGGTGGATGATATAAGGGGAATGTCAGTTATTAGAGGAAAAATATCTGCTAAAACTATAAGAAAGATATATGCATATGATTAGATTTTTTTATATTTTTGACTAATGTGTTCTCTTTGTAGGTGGCTAGAGACCATGCTGTCAAATCCTGGAAATTTGCAGAAGATTTGGGTGAAGTGGACAGAGATTATGGCTCTGGGTATCCTAATGGTCAGTTTATTTCATATAAGATTCCTTCCATTTCCATACAAGTGTTTTAATTTTTTTTTACAATTAAAGGTAGACTAATCATATTTAGATATTTTTAAACGAGCACTAGTGTCAATTACTGCTGTTTTTCTGGCACATATATACTACTGTTCAAAAGTTTGAGGTCATTAAGGTTTTTTTAAAAGTATTACTTTAATACTTTTAGTCAGCAGGAACGCATTAAATTGATCAAAAATGATTGTAAAGACATTTATAATGTAACAAAAAAAAATCCATTCCAAATAAATGCTTTCTATTCAGTATTCAACAAAGGATTCTAAAAAACAGATTCTAAATTCCACAAAAATACGAAGCAGCACAACTTGTTTTCAACGTTGATAATCAGAAATGTTTCTTGAGCAGCAAATCAGCATATTAGAATGATTTCTGAAGTTATCGTGGCACTGAAGACTGGAATAATGATGCTGAAAATTCAGCAGGAATAAATGACATTTTACAGTATATTCATAGAAAACACTTCTTTTAAATTGTAAAAATATTTCACAATATGACAGTATTTTTGATCAAATAAATTCAGCCTTGGTGAGCAGAAGAGACTTCTTTCAAAAACATTTACACATTTTACAGACCCCAAGAGTTCAGTTCTAGGCTCAAAGTAAATATTATGATTTATTCTGTGTGTGTTTAGATCCCAAAACTAAGAGCTGGCTGCTGAAGTTTCTGGAGCCAGTGTTTGGTTATCCTCAGTTTGTGAGGTTCAGCTGGAGCACAGCGCAGACGCTCATGGACAGTAAAGCTGTTGCTGTTCACTGGTGAGTCTGACAGCAGAGGGCGCTGCCTTTTCAGATTCAGAAAACACTCAGACCGGCTGCACTTTCATTTTCTTTAGTGCTTACACATCAAATGTTATATACAAAAATATTTTTTCTGTTAGTACTTGTGCATTTATATATTAATATGAAGTGTGTTTGTTTGTGTGTAGGGACGATGATGAGGAAGATGGAGAAAAAACCGCTGCTCGTCAGAATAACACCTCAATGCTGTCGTATTTCAGCCGCAGCAAACCGTCAGAGCTTGCACACACACGAGACACACACCGCTTTTTCACTGAGCGCAAGCTACAGAGCATCAACACACTCTGAACACAAACACTGTCCATCAGTGAGAGAAGCACTCAACATATCACAAAATACACGTCAACTGGATATGTCCAACATAATATCGCAAATAATGAACTGTACATGAACCAGAATGTATTATATTCTCATTTGTGTTTTTTATGGCGTGTATTCTTCATTTCTGGATGTAAAATCAATAAAATGTTTTCATTTTCATATCTTTTTGAATGTGTCTTAGATTTTTAAACAATGTTTTCAGAAGTGGTACAAAACTGGCCCAGAATATTAGTGATTCTATATGTCTGTCTAACTGAAAACTGCCTAGCAACCACTCAGAACATGTTTATCTTAAAGTATTTGCAGGGTTGGCAAACTTAAATTCTCGTTTAAACGTTTTTAACTGCAAGTACAGGGCTGCGTTTCCCAAAAGCATTGTAAGCTTAAGTTGATCTTCGAACCATTGTCACCAATGGAGCTACGAAGGGCTAACTTAGGTTTGCGATGCTTTTGGAAAACGCAGCCCAGATTAGTTGACGTGTCTTAGGTTTATTTTTATATATATATATATATATATTTTTTTAAACCTACACGCTTTTGTGCTTGACTCAGATGTTTATATCACTCCGCGACAGCAGGTGGCGCAACTGTTTCACAACAATAAACCAAAGGAGGAAGAAGCCTAGCGGCAGTTTCCGCTTGAACTCAGCAGTGTGGTGAGTTTGTTTGAGGCGATTCATTCAGTTTTAATAATGTTTAGTAAATTATTTGTACATTTATTATTTAGAAAAGCAGCACTCAGCGATATTAACAATAGTCTGTACTAACGTACAATAAGTGTGTAGTTGTTCACGTTAACTGCTCACTGTATTCATTCTCTTTTTGTGCCTTTCTCTGTATTTTAGTGTGGTTTTACCTGAGATTATTAATCATGGACATACGACCGAATCACACCATCTATATCAACAATGTTAACGATAAGATCAAGAAAGAAGGTAAAGTCTTTGACATGTTTGCTCTTTTTCTCTCTCTCTCTCTCTCTCTCTCCCTTTGACCATTAAACTATATAATTGATATGATTGTGAAACTTTTAGTGCAGTTTTTTTTTCTCTTGCGTCTTTTCTAGAGTTGAAGAGATCCCTGTACGCCTTATTCTCCCAGTTCGGCCAGATTCTGGACATTGTTGCGCTAAAGACCACAAAGATGAGGGGTCAGGCTTTTGTTATCTTCAAAGAGCTTGCTGCAGCCACCAATGCCCTCAGACAGCTTCAGGGATTCCCTTTCTACAATAAACCCATGGTCAGTGCCACAGCTCATAAGAACTACAAAGCAGTCACACGATTAACATTTCAGAAAATAATGAGCGGAATATGGTCCTTTGATTCACTTTAACCTTTAAGTTATAATTAGATCACTCGGGGTGAAGTTTATCTATAATGTGAAAATGCAAAATAACACTGAGGCAAACACACATGCTAAAATAACAACTTACTGACACATAGTAAGAAATAGTTTATAAAAAACTGAAACAGAAGTGGAAAGAGGAGAGATAAAAATCGATACTGTTATTTACCTGCCTGTATTTAGTTTCTTTCATCTGTGATTCACTCAGGGTGTTTATCAGATGTAGTCATTCATATTATTTATCAGTTTACACTTTACAAAGCATTAGAAATGAACACGTTTCTCAGTCCCTAATCTTAGCTTGTACTTGTAGCGAATCCAGTATGCAAAAACAGACTCAGATCTGATCTCTAAGACGAGAGGCACGTATGGAGATAAAGAAAAGAAGAAAGAGAAGAAAAAGAAAGCTCAGGAACAGGCTGCCAATTTCAACACGAAACCAGCGGTGAGTTGAAATGCATGTTTGCTGAGGCATTGTGGTTAGAAAATGATATTGACGACCTAATTGTGGTGAAATGTACATTTAAAGAAAACCAGATCAACTGAGTAAATTTAGCTTAAAAATGTTTCTTTTTTTTTCTTTTTTTTCCTGCAGGGAGCTGTAAACACACAACCTCCTCCACCTGCCACATGAAAAAAGTAAATGTTTTTGTAATAAATTCAAAATGATTGTCTATAACCTTTTTTATGTTTTGTTATAGTGATGTTTTTTTTTTTTTAATGCGGAGAACGTTTAACTTTTATTAAACACTTTAAATGTACTCCGTTTCCCCTTTTGATTACAAATGCATAAATATTGATAGATTTATATATCACCCAGCTTTTTCAGCAAGATTGTCGTCTCAGATTTTTTTACTCCCCATCTTGTTCCATCTTTTCAGGTTTCCAGGGTTTAAAGAAGTGCGCCTGGTCCCTGGAAAGCATGACATTGCGTTTGTGGAGTTTGAGAGCGAGGCTCAAGCTGGAGTAGCGAAAGATGCTCTTCAGGGATTCAGAATCACAGCCACGTGTGCCATGAAAATCACATATGCCAAAAAGTGACCTGGCTCACACTTACTGGACTGTAACGGAGGCTTTGATCAGTGGATCCTCACTTCTGATTTGTGTTTGTCTTTACAGTCAAACTAATTTTTTTTTTTTTTTTAAACATGTTTGTTCAGTGACTGTTCAGTATTGTTTTTCCTTTTTTTTTTCTTTTTGTATGGGAATTATTTGGTCACTGAGGACTTCATGATATTCCAGGACAGGTCTTTATTTTGTACTGTGGACTAATAAAATTAGCAGCTAAAATAAATGTCCCATATTTTTATGACATTTAGTTTTCTGCTCGAGCTTAAAAGAACAGTTCCCAAAAATAAGGTGCTATTTAATGGCGCTTTTCCACTGCGTGGTACAACTCTGCTCGCGTTTCCACTGCAGTTTAGTATCGCTTTAGAGTGGGCGGGATTATTCACACTCATTAGTTGCGCCACCTATACTGCCGCGACTCCTGAAAAACTTTCATTCCGCGTCGCCCCATCAAGCTCTCGCTGGATCCGCTCCTCTGCTATCAATGAGAGGAACGTCTGTACTTCCTCAACAGACAACGAAACAGCTGCTTTTTGGTTGTTAACAAAAGGTGTGCACGTTCAAAACCGTTGCGTTCGATCCTTCGCTGGCTGTGCTGATTTAAATCAAGCGGTTCTGTTGTGTTTGTGTTGCAAGTTCAGTGACGCAGGTAGTGACGATTCTTTCCGGCCAATCCGTGATCAGCAGAGTTTACACGTCACGTTTTGGTAACGGTACGGTTCACTTGGATCCTCAACCAAGGTGGTACTAAAAAAAGTACCAGGTACTGTACCCAGTGGAAAACCCCCCAAAAGTGAACAGTACCCTGCTGTACCATGCAGTGGAAAAGCGCCATTAGGCACTCACCCTCATGTTGTTCCAAACCATTTTTAGATGCACCTTCATAATTGTATGACTTGAGATCAGTTGTAAACTGTCAGGCACGAACACTGTACCTGACAAAAGGGCTGAAATAATTGGTTTGGCACAGAACAGTGTAACACCCATTTGCGTCAGCGCTCACGGCTCTGTAAATTTTGTTCTGGGTGCAACTCTCTTATGAATCTGGGCACAAGCTGACAGGTGCATCAATAACAGCAGCGTGATACAACATTGACAGAAGCACTTGTTACAGGGCATACAGATTAAATCGGTCACGTTTATATTTTGGCAGAGACTGGTCTCATCGTTTACACAGCTAGGGATCGGGCCACCGAGGCCACTGACATTTTCAGACATGCTGCTTTTAAAATGTCACGACAGGTTTGCATAATAACTGACAGACACTATCAAATTAGTCCCAGCACATAATGACCCTCCACTAAGCGTCATTTCAATAAATAAATATAGAATAGCACAGGGGAAAAAAAAGCTCCATTAAAAGCTTTCTGATAAGTGGGTTGAATGGGCAGGAAAATATTTTTGCTACAGAGATTTTTCAACAGGTAAATGTAACTGGGAAGCTTTAATGGTAAGGATGAGCAGACCTTTTGTTCCACAGTTCTCACTAGAGACTCTTGCATCCACTCATATGCAAGAGCCAGTGGAAGGAATGAGAAATATGAAAGACTAAATCAATACCTCAAACTGAATTATTGCTCTCCTCTGAAGCACAGGAATTAGTTTCTCAACAGCCAAGTAGTGAAAACAGGTATTCAAGAAGTTCTTGCAGCTCACTCTCTCTGCATCATTTAATGAGGAAAAGATGCCACTGCAACCACCCAGAACCTTATAGCAATGCCACTGCAACCACCCAGAACAATAAGGTCATTTCACATTTCACATCGGTGCCTTTTCCACTTGGAAGAATTAAAAAATAAAACGTTTAATCAACATTCTTTAAATATCCATGAAATTAAGACACCTTAAAATGACAAGAAATTGTATTGCGCCATCTCAGGCTATGTAATTTATTCTTTTATGACTATTTTTCTACCTCATGTTTTCGGTATTTTTGTCAACCCTGTTACCGACACAAGCGTTACTATATACTATAGTTTAAATAGAAGTATGTGATTGTTTTCACATATATGAGCAGCATTTTAGTTCCTCTTTTCACTGGGATTGTTTCAAATTTTGGATTTTTATATTTGTCATTCAGATGACCAAGAACATCCTAATTTTGGAGGGTGACCACGTCAATTAGGAAAAATATATATTTTCACAAGAGAGACAATAAAAAAGGGCTTTGTCCAAAATAAAATATAAAGTTACAATGGAAAAACCTGGAAGGCTGTATCAAATATGATGTTTTACAATTTTTATGAAATTAATGACAGTAACAGGATTGATGTCATCGTCACAGGACTGACCAGAGTAACAGGGATGACAGGACACACTTCAGCACACGGCACATATTTGTTTACATAATACTGTACAGTTTTACGATTTTAAATTGCATTACATTGTTTTGCACTTACTTAGCATAGTTGTATGAGAATAGTAAACAGTCAATTTTTCAGTTTAAGTCAGTTCATTGTTGATTTAGCACATTACATTTCTAAGAGATCTAATGTTTTAAGGGTATTGTAATTAGATAATGTGCCCATCTGTTTGTCTGTGTCCCCTCACAGAACTTCAAATATACTGATCTGGTTCAATTATTAGGCAAGGAAGATGATCAGATCTTGGTCTTTCTGTGATCATCTGAAACCAGACCAAGATCTTGACTTTCTTGAACATTGCAAGACTGCGGTGAAGGTCTGCAGTCACCTTGCTGCTCTTGTTTGTAATTGAATTTACATGGATGCATTATTGACAATGAGTTTTATTGAGACTGATCATCCTATCCTGGTCATTAATTATAACAGTAATAGAAACAATATCAATAAAACTAACTAAAATGTAACTCATGCTGATATACCACTGAATGATATAGGCATTAGCTCAAAATTACACACAGGGTGACCTTTAAATAGGTTTGCATTTTACACAGACAATCTTTAAAAACAGGGTGACACCTCATCCCTGTTAACCACGTCAAAACCTGTTACCCTGAAAAGTAACAGGGATGACAGTAACAGGGTTTACAATTTCAACTATTTACAACTAATTTGCTAAGTTCTAGCTAATAGTGAATTTCACAAAAGCACGTTGTACACTTTGAAAGGATTTACTTTCGTTTAATATTGATTATATTAAATGTAATGTTTAAATTTACATTTTAAAAATGGTAACAGTACTGACCCCCACCCCTCAGTCAAGCCTCATAGATCATAAAAAACAGAACATTATAGAAGTGAGAGAGAAACATGCTTGTGTTCTAAGTGTAGGAATCCTGGTTGAGAGATGTAACCTCTCAGAAGTGATGTCAACAAATAATGTTGAACGTAAATTATTTTACAAGGGTTTTTTTGATGAGGGTAACAGGGCTGACATGAAATCAGGGCACACCAATAAAAAGATTGAAATTTTATAGAAAAAATGCATACTTGTGCCAAAACATTGCTTAACAATGAGACTATATTTAAAACAATATGCAAATGTGATTTTTATATCATTTTGCCTTTATTTTGCAAATTAAAGTCCTGCTGAAAAGAAAAAGCATAGTGAGGGACAGGCCAAAAACCTTACCCTTATCAGCATAAATGCTATTTAAATTATTTAAAATAATATTTAATTGACTTTATGTAATATTTATGAAAGAATACATAGTATCGTTATGTTTTTAAATTGCAAATTTATTCGTTGTTAAATTAAATCCATGTTTGATTACTTCTTAGGGAAGCAAAAGGCACCAATTTCATGGAATGACCCAATAACTGAATCCACACTGTAGCAACCACCCAAAATACCCCTGGCAACAGCCTAACAACCAGTACATCCTTGCAAACAGGGCTGCAGTGTTGGGAAGGTTACTTTGTAAATGTTATAGGTTACAGATGACAAGCTATTATTTAAAATGCTATTATTTTATTAAAGTGATGTAACTGATTACATTTCATTACTTTTTGATTACTTTTCTAAATTTCTAACTAATTTTTTCAACTGGTAATCATTTTCAAAAATGTAAACCAGGCAAGTTAACCTTATAGTAGTACTCAACACAGAAATTCTACTTCACTTGAATTAAGATTATAAAAATTTTAAAGCACAGCCACCACAAAATCAGACTTCTCCTTTCACCTTGAGATCGTTCTGAGGTTAAATACAGATTACAAATCATAACAAGAAATAGTTTAATAGCTATGGTACTGTTTTTGAAATCAAATCTATGCATAGCTATGAAAGGAAACAGTGGTATCTAACAATGCCTTGGAAAAAAACAGTTAATCTTAAAAAATAAAGAATACACATAAACCCGAATAGGAAATAAAACAGTTCTTATATAAGCAATATTGAATATTATCGAATATGTGTCCTATCTTGTGTCCTAAACTCCTGAACATTGGTGTTAATTGTGGTCAATTAACATTGGTGGTCAGTTAATTATGTAAAATAGTTCTCACAGCACGTCTTTTTATAAAGACAGTGATCTAATGGGGAAAAGGCAATGAGAAGATATCAGCAACCGTCATCCCTGATTTACTCTCTAAATGAGCAGATTACTGATCTCTCGTCATCATGACAGCCCAATCATCTCTTTCT